AAAAAAAAAAAAAAAAAAAAATCAATACTACTTTCATTGTTGGAGGTTTTTGGCTAATGAAATAGAAGTCAGTGACCAATCAGGATTCTTTGGTTATGAAAAAAACAAACTCAGGTAATTTAGCAGGTGGCAACTGACTGGAAAGACATGTGGTTTCTTACAAAACAGAAGGAAGAGTTGAGACATCTGGCGTGGAGCATGCTGGGAACTGTGCAGCCTCAGAGATCTGGGTAGGAGGAACCTGTCAACATTCACCAGGGAAACAGGTTTGATGGGCACCAGCTGTCAGGTGCCTGGAGCAAGATAAAAGTCCCTCAGCCAAGCGTGGCGGTGCACACCTAAGTTCCAGCACTCGGTAGGCTGAGGCAGGAGGATCGCTGTGAGTTCGAGACCAGCCTGGGCTACATAGAGAGTTCCAGGAGAGTCTCAACTACATAGTGAGAATCTGTCTCAAAAAACAAAGCAAAACAAAAGAAAAAGATAAAAGTCCCACGGTAGAGCAGCCAGGCTGAGTCAGGGGCCCGAGCTGAGAGGCCACCTGGCCTGGCAGTTCTCCATGACCACTCACGGGGCACACAAACCACTCATCTAAAGGACATTGGGGTGCTCTTACCAGAGATGAGGGGATGGCGAGGAGCCCCTCATAGCTGCTCACACTGCACTGCCTCGGTTTAGAACAGGGAGCAGCAGGCGGGAGCCCCCACCTGTCTCCGTCAAGCATCCTGCAGGCACCCATAGCCTGCGATCACTTTCACACCACGGGGAGCTGTGAGGTCGCGACAGAGACCACGGCCAGAGGTGCTAGGGGATGGCACTCTATCCGGGGTCCTGCCGGAGAAAAAGGGGCTGGTCCCAGGTCTGGGCGGCCATGCCACCTCCACCGGGCCCTCTCGGCCTGGCCCTGAGCAAGGACTGATCAGACGTCGCCTGCCTTACTGGCTCTCACAGAGCTGAGCTTGACCAGTGCGCTCCCTGCCCACCCCTTCGGCTCTCTTAATTTAGCCCGATGATGCTGCATTCCGTGCTTAGGCTGGCGCAGGTAACTTTATTAAGAAACAGTCCTGACTTCCCACCTGTTAGGATGGCTACGGTTGGAAGAGAAACAAGCATTGGCAAGGATGTAGGGAAAACGAAAACGCTGGGCACTGTTCTCAGGAATGAAAAACGGTGTAACCGCAGCGGAAAATAAGGTGGCAGCACCTCCAAACCTTAGACAGGAAGGCACCTCACTCCCACGTCTGGTACGCTCTCCAGCGGACTGGAAGCAAGATCTCAAAGAGACATCCGCGGACCTGTGCTCCTGGGCGCGTTCTTCCGAACCGCCCAGAGGAGAAGCAGCCCAAGTGGTGGGTGACCGGCAGAGGGACCGATGCACCACTTGTCATGGGCGATGGTATCCGGGCAGAGAGGAGATGCTGACATGCGCTGTATCGCGGAAAGACCTGAGGGCGCCCGCGGCCAACGGGCCAGTCACAAGAAGGCAGTGCCATGTGGCTGTGGGGACACCGAGCATGCCGGTACAGAAAGCAGAGGGGGGCCACCAGGGCCTAGGGGAGGGGAGGAGGGGAGTCACTATTCAACGAGTGCTGTTCGTGCGCTGACACGGGGGTGGAGGAGCAGACCATGGCCAGCCCAGGGCTGAAACCACAGCCAAAATACAGCTCTCCTCCTTCAAGTTGATTTTTCTCAGGTATTTCGTCACAGCGAGGAAAGCTAACACAATCCCGTCCCAGACCAGAGAGAAGTGAGCCTGACTGCGTCCTCTGGGAGCGCGGAGGAGCGCGGCTGCTCTTAGTGGCGATGGCAGAGCAGGGAAAGTGAAGACAGCTGCGACCGAGTTGCTCCCCAGCGCTGCACTGATGGGCCCTGGAAAGCAGGTGACTCCTGTCTCTCGCACCACCTGTGCCGTGTTTGGGTGAAAGAGGCATGAGCCCCGGGAGCCCGCGTGTTAAGCTCCTGCTCTTCCTCCCGCTCTTGGCTTTCCCTGGAGCCATTATTCTCCTGCCACAGCTGCGTGAGGAGGAGGTGGGCCACAGCCTGCTTTCTCTCACTGCGCACCATGAAAGCTCAGCTTTTGCATTAGTTTTTGTGCGTGATAGAGACATAGAGCAACCAGGACTGCCAGCGATCAGATCTCTGTGAACATTCTAGAAGATCCGAGTGGGGCGCAACCCCAGTGCCCAGCCGGGAAAGCCCTGGTGCGGATGAAGATGGGGAAGACCCAGGCAGCCGCGGGGTTTCCGGGGATGTCTCCCACCTAGGCTGATTCAACCCAGGCCTCCTGCCCACCATGCTGCCCTCCCTACCCACTCAGGTTCTCAAGGTAACCCTGTAGCTCTTTGAACATATATGTGGCGGAAAACCTGACTCTGAAAAGCCAAGTCTGGCTGGGGGGGATCCTGACCAGTAAGTAGGTAGAATTAATTGGGTTGTAAATGATAGAGACTGAGGCCAGATTAGCCTAAGCACAAAGGGAATTCACTGGTGCAGGTAATTAGCATTACAGAGTCGCTTCTTCCTGCACATTCATCTCTTTCTCAGTGGCTCAGGAGTTTCCACCGCATGGATGGGTGTGGTGAGCTGAGCAGTGGACCCTAAGATGTCCGAGTCTTAACACCCAACCCACAAATGTGTTATCTCCCGGGCAAAGGGGATTCTGTTGAGGATCTTGAGATGAAGACATGATCACGGGTCATCCAGATGAACCCCATATAAATGCAAGAATGCTTATGAAGGGGGAAGGGCAGTCAGTAGAAGTAGGTGCAATGAGAGAAGCAGAGGTAAGAGAGACAGGCTGCTGGCTTTGAAGATGTTGGAAGGAGACGTGAATCATAGAATATACATGACCTCTAGATGCTGGAAAATAAAAGAAATTGAGTCTCCAACTGTATTAGCCAGCTTGCTGCTACTGTGACAAAACACCTGAGACCATTATATGAAGAAGAAAGGCTCATTTTGGCTCATGATTTCAGAGGGTCCAGCCCATGGTTGTTTGGCTCTATTTCCTTTGGGCCTGTGGTGAAGCCGAACATCGTGGCAGGAAGTCCTTGGTGAAGTAAGCTGCATACTTCATGGGGGCCAGGAAGCAAGGAGAGGAAGAGAAGGGGCCAGGGTCTCAATACCCCTTTCAAAGGCACAGTTCTGTTTGATTGGAAAGTTCCAACTAGGCCCCACTCCGGAAGCTTCCACCACCTCCCATAGCAGCATGAACTGGGGACCAAGTCTCCAACCCACAGGCCTCTGGGGAACACTTGTCCAAACTGTGGCACCCACAGGACTTCCAGAAGGAATGTCCTTGGTGTCAAGACTTCTGACCTCCAGAGTTTAAGTTGTTTTAAACTGCTGCGTTTGAGGTAATCTGTTACTGCAGCTATAGGAGGCTGATACAATGGCCTCGTGCCTCCGGGCTTATGTCTTCTCATTGACTAAGCCACAGGGGTGGGAGAAGTTTCCTTTTCCCAAAGTTCCTCCTGGACTCTCAGAGAGAGACTCTGTCCACAGGGAGTTCAAGGGACTCTCTCTCGTGGTACCAGTGCTGGTGCCAAGCCGGGGGAAAGAAAGCAAGCCAAACCTGGATTATGTGCCTGAGGTGGCCGTTTGGGTGGGGACCCTGGTTGCTGGGCCCCTCGAGTCTTTGGAGATGAGGGCAGGAAAGTGTCCTGGACAGGCATAACCACAGGCTCCACAGCAGGAATGTGGGGAGAGCAATTTAGGGAACCGAAGCCAAGGGTTAGTGGGTACTGCTGGTGGAGCGAAGTAGGCAGGGCCAGAGAGGAGTTGGAGGAACCAAACCACCTAGAAAGCCCACCCCCCACCACTGCTGGAACCATGTGGAAATTTTAATTGCTATATTGCACAATTTACAGTGTGAATATTGTGGGAGTAGGCACAGTATGGGATGTTTGTGTTTGTGTGTGTGTGAGTTGGCGTGCAAGTGGTAACAGGTTGCCATAGTGACCAGCAGGGATTTTAGAACACGGAAAATCTACATCCCATATCTCAGCCATGCCATTTACTAGCTAAGAGATCTTGGGCAAGTTTCTTCATTTCTCCCCAGACTTAGGATCTTCATCCCTAAAATGGGGACAGCAGCAATCCCAGTATCACTGGGCCATTGTGAAGATTAAATGAGATTCAGCGTGTAAAATGCCTAGCAACAGTAAATGCCATTTTAATGGTAGCTATTATTGTGATTATTTTAATGAAGGAGAAACATTTGCTCACGAAACATTTTGAGCTGGTGGCTGTCTTGTGTGGTCCTAGAGGGTAGACCAGGGTCAAAGACAGAAGCCATAGGCCAACATAAGGAAGCCCTTTCTCTAGAGTCATTTGAGGAAGCAGCTGGTGCCTGCGGGAGTCAAGCCAGAGAAGAGGTTGGAGGTGTTGCTTGGGAGGGGAGTTTGCATTCAGTTGGAGAGTGGAGCGGAGCCTTCAAAGCTCGCTTCTTGCTGTGAGATCCTGTAGTTTTCATCCCATCGTAGGTGCTCCCCCCCACCCCAGAGCTGAGCAGCTGTGACTTCAGCCACTCCTTGGGACCCATCAGGTCCCCACACACTTCGGTCGTGACATGCCCAGCCTGGGATTTCTTCCAGGCCCTGAGCTTCCAGCCCCAGAGCTTGATTCTATCTCTCACTCACTGGGCTGGCGCTGAGAGAGCAGAGGAGTGGTTTGCATTCAGATTCGCCTCAGGAATCCTGTGGAGAAGGCTTAGGGCAGCAGCTTCTTTGGGGTGGAAGAGCCTAGCACCCCCCGGAGCTCTGCAAGTACCAGTGAATTAGTCTTTGACCACTTCCTAAGCAGTGAGCTGCTTGAGAGGCAAAAGTCAGTTCAGCAGCCTGGCTGTAAGGCTAAAAACCTTCCCTTGCACAGAAGGTTTGCTCTGTCTCGTGTGACAGAGGTTTGCACAAAGCTGCTGACATACGGGCTCATGTAACCCTTGAGGACATTTTCTAGATTTGTCTCTTGAGCACACCTTTTCCTCAAAGGGTGTCTGGTCAGATAAGTTTGGGACACAATCTACACTGTATTTAGAGACTCACGAATCAGTCCTCAAGTGTCCCACACCGAGCACTGCTTCTGTGGAGATTTTTACTGATAACTTTTCAAAAAGACAATTGCTTTTTTCACCCAAACAGTTCGTATTTGCTGCGAAAAATATTTTTAGGTACAAAGGGTGAAAATTATTCTTTATTTTCTCACTTTCACTCAAGCAAACCTTTCTTGGGATGTTGACATTTTCTGCCAGACTAGATATTACAAAGAACATCAATCTTACAAAAATGAGATCATTCTTACCTGCTATCCTACCGTCTGTTTATTCCATTTAGCAAGATATCATAACCATCTTTTCACATTAAGAAACATGATCACAGCATTTAATTAATTCACCTATGTATTCCATAGTACTGATTCAGCGTCAGGCATGGACTACCCCAGCCAGGTAGGGCAAAACCACTAGCATCACTTCCTCTTAGGTTTCATGGCTTTTCTCTACTCTGCTGTGTGCCAACTACAAATTCTTGACGCTAAACACCCACGGGAGCGCAGGGACACACACACACACACACACACACACACACACACACACACACACACAGATCTGACTACTGAAACTGCAAAGAGTAACATCTGTTAAGTTCAGATGGATGGAGTTTTACACTCATGCACAGCCGTGCAGCCACGACTCAGCTATAGAGAGTTTCTATAAAAGTTCTAAAGAGAAGAACACGCAGGAGCAGGGCCTTTGCTCAGCCTGGAACTGTGAGGTCGCAGAACATCCCATCTCGCCCTTTCCCAGTTAGGGATCCTCACAGCTGAAACATTCTGGTCCTTGTGTGTCTTGTGCCCCCTTGGCCTTTGAGGGCAGGGTAGCCAGTGGCCATCAGCAAGGGCTGGTAGGTGTGCAGAGACGGAGGCTGTGGCGTCCCTGGGCCCCAGGTCCTGGAGGAGGAGGAGGGCTTCGCTCCTGCCCATCTGTTCTGGGCGAGCTGAAGAGAGGAGCTCCGCAGAGGGAGGCACCCGGGAAGGCAGGGCTGGGGCGAAGTCCCTGGGCGATGGATCGAAATAATCCCTGCTTCTCAGCCAGGGTAGGCGATAGCCGATTATTTGGACGATGGGGAAAAATCCGAATATGCACTGTGGCTCCATATGACACTGGATCAAAGCTACATCCCCGGTTCTGATCATCACACCCTGGTGATGGAAGAGATGGTTCTTTGTGTGAGGAGGACACTGAGGAGGAGAGAGGCGCTGTCTTCGCCTTGCTCTCCAATGGCTCACATAAAAACGTGTGTGCACCTGTATGCGAGTGGACAAGACAAGGCCAAAACGTAACTCAGTGGTGAATATGGGTGCAAGGGTTGTGGGAGTTCTCTGTACCGACCTTCGACTTCTGAATCAATTTGAAATTACAGTAACAGACAGAGTTATAGACTCTGAAGTCTGAGGCCTCCTGGGGCTGGGCCTGTCTACCGGAGACCTGTGTGGCCTTGGGCTTCTTCCTGCCTATCTCCTCTGTTAGACTCTACTGTGTGGGTGGGAGGCTGAGTGCCAGGTGGCCTTTTTCTCTCTTTGTTTCAGACTGTCTTTGTGAGACCCGCAGATCGGCTCCAGCTCTCCCTCTCCAGGATTCCGAGGATCTGGATTCCCAGTGAGCGCTGAAGGGTAGTTCCCCTCTGCTCTAGTCTTGTCATTTGTGTTAGCTGGGGCCTGGGACTTGCCTCCCACGGGAGGAGAAAGCGTGACTTTCCAGTGTATGCCTCTTCCCAGATTAAAATATCATGTAAAACAGGTTGTAATCATATCACTATCTCATCCTCCTTTAAAAAGTGCTAAGGCCACAGAAATTTTTTAACACTGGGTTTGCCCGGGGTGACTCCTAGGCTCCAATGATCTTCCTGCCTCAGCTTCCCAAGTGGCTGGGACTGCAAGTACACACCACTGCACACCAACTAGTAAATTTAAAGTGTTGGAAATAGGGAAATGATAAGCAAATGGCAAAGTCTTCTAAAATTCTACTCTAACGATGGCATTGATTTGACACCCAGAGACTGTCAGAACAGCAAGAAAACCCCACTCTTGCGTACTGGGGAAACTGAGGCCAGAGAGAGGGCGGCCTGCTGGACATCACAAAGAGTGTGGATGGCAGGATCATCTGGGTCTACAGACTGTGTTTTGAGTTTCAGGCCAACCTAAGGTTGGTTTTTAATATATGATGCTGTGGTTTTTTTCTCCTGACATAAACACCTACAATTCGAAAATATAGAAAAGTCGGAGGAGGCTTTCTTGCTGGTTTTCACACTCTCCTCCTCGCAGGAGTTCAAATGCTGCTCTCTGCCATCTCTGTGCCTCAGGGCAGCTTCTCCCCTAGCTGAGAATCAGAGGAACACCCAGGCCCTGTCTTGGGCTGGCTGCTCCTCATCCTGCCTTGGAAAGTTGGCTGGGGCAGGCTCAGGATCCAGCTACCATGCCTGCCACCCACAGAGCCCGACTCGGGGAGCGGGCAGTGACCCACCTGTGTGCTGTGCTGCCTGAAATCCTGCAGTTTCCTCTTCCTGCTTTCACCTGGGCATTGGCTGCCGTGCTGGGGCAGCCACAGCCGCCTCTCAGGGAAGGAGTCCGCCAGGAGGCTGGTGTCCTTCTGTGTGCGGGCAGGCTGGGTCCTGCTTTCCCCTCTCTCTCTCCTCAGGCCCTCTTTGGTGTCTCTCAGGCCATTGTCTGAGTTCTGCTCTGGGCCTTGCTGCAATGAAGGCGAGAATTCCCAGGGGCGGGCACGCTGGCGTGGTTGCCAACGTGCAGCAAAAATAGCACCGAAGCTAAAGCTGACTGAGCAGTCATCTTGGGTGCGGTAACCCTGCTAAGTATGTGACAGGCGTTATTCCTTTTAATGCTCACGAGGACTCGGAGGGCTCTAGCTTCTCCCTGGCTCTTCCATGTGGGAAGCCTGGTGGGAGAGGTTGGATTTTACTTGGTGGGAAGAGGCATAAAAGGGGTCAGGGGTGCCAGAAGTCACCATCTCCTTGGGGTCGGGCGTCCTCCATCCCCAGCACCCACTCTGACTTTAGACAAAGGCCCACTCCCAGCTACCCACTCCCCAGAACTCTGCTCTCTGTCCAGACTGCTGGGAAGTGAAGCTTGGGTCGGCACTGGGGGATGAGTCAGGACTTGAACCCAGAGCCAAGGGACAATCAGGGCAATTGAGGGTGCTTTGGGGCATGTGGAGAGCAAGTCTGCTGGGCACACGGCAGGCCTGAAAGGCTAGGAGCCTGACTGCTGCTTCTTAGGGGGAGCCTTCCTTGCGGGGTCCCCCAGCCTCCGCCCCCTAGCCTGCCGCTCTGGAGCAGCTCTTCCGGAAGGCCCAGTGGAAAGTGGCCGGTGGGGAGGCCTCCTCCCAGAGCCAGGCCCGACCCACTGTCTGGCCTCTGCCGCACCACCAGCAAGCAGAGGGTAGAGCAGGTCGTCTCTTCCTGACACAGCCTCCCTGCTGGGCGGAGGGGCACAGGCTCTCCCGGGAGCTCTCCTGCCTGGCCTTCCTCGTGCTCTCGGCCCTCCTGTCTCTGAACCCTTGCTCGTGCCCTGCTGAGACCCTTGAAGGCTTGGTTCGTATGTCTCTTTTCTGCGTTGTGGAAATAGCCGGCGGTCCACCCATCCGTCCCTCATCTGCCCCTGCTCCATCAGGCCTCCTTACCCCCGAGTCCTGCCTTTGAGGAATGATGCGCAGCTCCAGGACCTCGGTTCGCTGCTCGTGAGGGAAGCAGACCCCTCAGCCTGGGCAGAGGGAGGCCAGCAAAAGCCCCATAAAGGTCAGGAACCATTCATTTCCCTTGGACAAGCAAGCGAGGCCTGTGTGCACTCGGCAGCGCTATGTGTACAAAGAATAGGCCGGGGATTTAGCTCAGTGGTGCCGCCGCTGCCTGCCTCGAAAGCACAAGGTCTCAAGTTCAATCCCCGGCACCGAAAAATAAAAGAAAAGAATAGCTGTTAGTGACTGGTGAGTTATCCAACGTGTACTTGATACTACGGACCTCAAAATTCGCGCATCCTTTCTAGGGGTTCTTTTTCCCGTTGGGCTGTGTGACCTGGGACGAGTTGTATAATCTCTCTGCGCCTTTACTTTCTTGTCTACAAGCGGTGATCAAAAATGCAGTAAATGTTTAAAGTTCATTGCAGCAAAAGGCACGTCGTATTAATTCACCCTCAAAGCACTCCCCTTTGTTCCCAACTCACGCCGTTCTTCCTGACCCTCTCAGAAGCAGCTCTGGTCAAAATGACCATGAGAGGTAAACTTTTTTTTTTTTTTTTTTGATTCAGGACATCAAGGCGGCCACACCACAATGGAAGACACGCACAGAAAAAGACTTCAGAACTTCCTCAGGTGGTGACAAGAACGATGGGAGGAGTGTGCTCAAAGTGAGGGGAAAATGTGGCCTTGTGTCTTTTACTGTCATGCATTTATTTAAACATTCACTATATTTTTTTGGCCAGATGTGGAGGCGCACACCTGTAATCCTAGCACTTGGGAAGCTGAGGCAGGAGGAGCCTGTGACTTTGAGACCAGCCTGGGCTACATAGTGAGTTCCTGGTCAGTCTCAACTACATAGTGAGACCCTGTCTCAAAAACAAAAACCACAAAACAAAAAAAAATACACTATATTTTTGGCCAGATGTGGAGGCGCACACCGGGAATCCTAGCACTTGGGAAGCTGAGGCAGGAGGAGCCTGTGACTTTGAGACCAGCCTGGGCTACATAGTGAGTTCCTGGTCAGTCTCAACTACATAGTGAGACACCGTCTCAAAAACAAAAACCACAAAACAAAAAAAAATACACTATATTTTTTTATTATACCTCGTATAAGGGGAAAAATCATCGTTGTCTCCAAAGGCGGTTTGGAGGATTAAACTCTCTCTTACAAACACAATAACAGGCTCTGGAGTCACATAGATGTTGGTTTAAATTACAGCTCGGGCTGGGTGTGGTGGTGGAGGCCTATAACCCTAGCATTTAGGAGGCTGAGGCAGAAGAATCACTGTGAGTTCGAGGCCAGCCTGAACTAAACAGCCAGACCCTGTCTCATTAAAAATAATAATAAAAAAATACAGCACTGCCACTCACTAGCTCTGTGACCTAGAGAAAGTCTCTTGACCTTTCTGTGGCTTCAGATAGTAACAGTAGCAACTTCAAAAGGGTGTCAAGGAGGTTAAAGAAGCAGTGTGGGTACAGAATTTAGGCCAGCACGGGCAGGGAGAGGAGGGGTATTGTATAAGCCTTTACTCAGGTCCTCACCTCCTTCCCACCCTCCCTTACAGTCCTCTCTTTGTCCTCTTTTTTTTTTTCCTTCAGTACTGGGGATCGAACTCAGGACCTTGTGCCACTGAGCCAAATCCCCAGCCCTCTTTGTCTTTTTTGAGATTTTAGTTGCACTCTGTCTTTCAAGTGGGAAACCCAGGCAAAAAGGACAGAAGCCCCCTCCTGTGCCCAGGTCGGTTCCAGGAGATCCTTGTGTTGCAGGTTCCTAACTTTTGGAGGTTGCGTGTGGGTACAGAAACTTATTTGTTCCCTCCTCTTTTACCCACATAGTAGTTTTCTGTGTTTATTGTTCCTTGTTTTGTTTTACTTTGCAGCTCTAGAGTACAGAAACTGTTGCGTTGCCTGTGTAAAGAGCTTTCCCACTCTTCCTCCGTAAAAGCCGAAGGATGCCTCTGTGATGCCGTCCTGCGCCAGCCTGCTCCCTGGCCCTGGCCGCTGGACAGGAGCACAGAGCAGGGAAGGGCCCCAGGCCCACGCAGCCCTCGCCCCACGGCCATCAAAGCCCTTGCTTTGTCAAGGCTCCTGTAATTTGCTCTCCTTCGTCCCACTTTGTTCTGGGCCGGAGAAGCCCCAGGCGGCCGCTGCAGGCCTGGTCCTGCCCCTGCGGCCCTCTCCTTCCTGCCTTGGCAGGGGACGCAGGGTGCCACCTTCCCACGCCACCATCTCTGCAGGGGACCTCTTCGGGGTGGAAGTGGGGAGTCTGTTGGTCAGAGATGCTTTCTTTTAAAAGCCAAGCATAACCAGAGCTGTCTGCTTGATTTTCCATGTTGACGTCACCATTCTCCCCTCCCAGTAGTGCAAAACATCTGCTCGCCTAGGAACATGGCCGTCTGCTTTTTGACTTGTTTCCTTTTTGTCAAAGAAAAGACTTGGTGTAATTCCTTCCGTCTTGTATGCAATAAACATCTGAAGAGTGATAGAGCAGCATCCCTGACATGGCAGCCGTGGAAACAGAGGAGACAGGTGACAGGTGACAGGTGAAGGCTGACGGGGCAGGGAAAGCCATTCGGAGCCCCCGCAGCAGCGCCAAGCCGGACTTGCTAAGAGACACTGATGACTCGCTGGGGACAGTCAAACGCCCGGGAAGGGCCTCAAAGTGCCTCACAGGAAGTTGCCGCTCGCCTGGGTCCGGATGTGTCTGAGGGGTCCACACACGCCTGCTGGTGCTGGGGACCGGCGGGAAGGAGGGCTCTGAACAACCCCACAGCAGCTGCCAGCCTTCGCTGAGCTGGCACTGTGTTGGCTGCCTCTGCCCGTATGAAGTCATTCTGTTTTCCCAAGACACCTCTTACCATCCATAGTCTGCAGACGAGAAAACTGACACCTGCAGAACTTCGGTGGTCTGCCCGAAGTTCCCAAAGGTTCAGCTCCAACCTGGGTCCCACAGCGCATGTCAAGCTAGCTTTCACGGTAATGCTAAGCACCTGTTTGCCTTTTGATCCCATTCCCTGGTGCCTGCTGGGTGCAATTTTCCGGTGTATGTGCTTGTGAGTCCACAGCCAGTGGCCAGGAACAACTGGGAAGAGATTTGCAAAAATCTAAAATGGCGCCACTCTTTTCGCTAATTTTTTAATTGAAAATACTTTTCACAAGATTTTTTTTTGTGTGTGAATACATGGTGGGCTTGTCATTGTACATATAAATTCCCATGGAGGTATTTAAATTGCTCCTTTAATTGCGAATAAGGTCAGAATGTAAAAGGGTTCTGAGGCTAAAAAGTGTGGGGGCCACTGCACGAACTTAAGTGGAGCTGCTCCCCGGCCCCAGGCCAAGGCCCTTCCAGGCGCTGTCGTTGTGTGCTTTGCCAGTGCCATTAGCACTGCTATGTCACGGGGCCCTGGCTTGTGCTGCATGGACTGGCCTGTGTGAGCACCATCTCGTAATCACCGCCTATGATTGAGGTCCTCTATCCTTAAGGCTTGCCTCGGGGGGCTAAAGTTAGTCATTTCTTTGGCATCTTTATTTTTAAAAAATTGTACTATTCCATGTGTGCAGTACATAATGATTGCAGGTACGGTAAGAGGTTGGTACGGCGTAAAACACGTGTTAATTCTTTTTCCATCCCCTCCCCTCCCTCCTTGTTTTTTCCTCCCTCCATCTCTTGATGGGGGCTTAAATTTTAAATCTTTGTGTCCCTTTCTTTGGCTTCTTGAGAGCGATCCCCTCATTCTCTCACTCTTGCTCTGCCCTCTTTTTTTGGCAGTGCTGGGGTTCAAACCTGGGCTGCCACTGAGCTGCACCCCCAGCCCAGCTTTTCTTTCTTTTTGGCACTGGGGATCAAATTCGGGACCTTGCGCTTGCGAGGCAGGCGGCGGAACCACTGAGCTACATCTCCGGCTCCTAGCTTTTCTTTCTTGATCTACAATCCTTCCTGATGACATCTAAGAGCTTTCCTATGCCACTTGGGCTGGCCCCTACCGAATCCCTGAAAAATGTATTTTGTTCCCTACACTGCTTATGTGTTTACACAAAATGCTCAAAAGCCTTCCCTGTGGATTTGGGGCCGACTCACCCAGTGACTTTCACTTGGTGCAGTGACTGGAAGCTAAAAAATGAAAGTGACAGCAATAGTCCTAAGCATCCTCGTTTGGAATCCAAGGCTGCACCCGGGCCGGGGAAAGAACTGTGACAGTGTTTGCAGAATCGCTGTCAGTGTCCCTTGTAAAGGAATCTGGTCTTGTAGATGGCATTCCTGGCTTGATCTTTGCTTCTCCCTTCTTAGGTTGCTCTGTCTGGAACTCTGTGGAGGACTTCTGCAGGGCATGTACTCCAGAAGGATTTCATCCCAGAAATATTGTTACAGTCTGACACAGATGTTGTTCTACCACACAGTGGGTTTCCTGCCGCATAGGTTAGGTGGACACATTGATTCTCTACAGTGACGCCACAGATTCTTCTACGGTGCGCTTGGTAACTCCGCTGTATTTGGCCGAGCTTTGGCCTTTTTAACCCCTTCAGAGTCTTCCCCGAGAGATGACGTTGCTTTGGAAGCTCACATGGCAGAGGAACGATGGGCTGCTCTGATGAGAGGGTCGTTCCGGCCACAGATTCCTGTTCCCAGTCCGTATGCTCCCGCGTGACCCTGGCAGATCTGTGAGACACTCAGCCGCAGGGCCTCAGTTGTCAACAGGAGAAAGCAATCTACCTGCTTCTGCTGCTATGGCATTGTTCTGCAGATCAAATAAGGTGAACTACTTTGAAATACAGAAGGCACTTGTCTGTTTCCTGGGGCCGCTCACAGGCTGCTCTCCCTACCTGGAAACTGTTCTTGCTTAGAACCTGTCCCCACCCTGCCCTGCAGCTGTGTAATCCCAGATAGCCGTGAAACATCCCTCCCTCATTCTGCCCTGGCCACTCTGGCCTCCGCCTGAAGCGGTCTTCTTGGCCCCGGGCCAGGCTGTTCCCTCTGCACAGGACACCAGCTGCCCGGTGACTTTCTCCCGTCGGCCTCGGTCATGGATCAGACAAGACTTCCTCAGACCCCTCCAAGGGACCAGCATCCAGCTGCCGCAGCTCTGCCCTTCTCCAGCATCCCCTCCTGGTCCCTCCATGGCTACCGGCCGACCTGTTGGTGAGTCGACTCTAAAATGTCAGTTCCACGCAAGCCGAGACTTGGCTTTGTTCAACTGGAATCTCGGTGCTCTGAGCCTCTCCTCCACCAAAAGCAGAGAAAGTTTTGTAAAGGAAGGAGGTGGGAGAAGAGCTACCCAGCAGGCAGCTGTGTTGGAGCGTGGACAGGGTGGGCTAAGTGGAAGCGATTTCAGGGGCCAAACCACACAGAACAAAGCTCTGGCGACCCCCGTTCCCTCTAACCCCAGCCCGGCCTCTGGCTTAGATTAGAGCAAAGCCTCAGTGTAATTAGGGCACTGGGACTGTGTACTCCTCGTTATCCACCCTCATTGCTCACTTAATTGGCCCAAAGCCGGTGGCACGAGGAGCTAACTGTGCAGCAATTTGGCATGTGGGGAGCAGCAGTGGGGCCTGTGCCCGGGCTAACTGGGCAGGCCCTGGGCTCAGTTCTCACTGGTGACAGGGCCCGGGTGGGTGTGGCCGCTGCCCACGGAGCCTTTGAAGTCTTGGCACGTGGGCCCCTGGGACTTGTTCAACCTTGGATCTTGGCTACTCCTTGGGCATGCCCGGCGGGTCTCCCCGGGCCAGGGCTGCCTGAGTGCTCTTCTTGGGCGAAGAGTGATTCTGCCAAGGGAATAAAATCTGAGCCCTGCCTAGTCAGCGCCACTGCCCCTTGGCTTCTGCTTTTGACCTGGTCCCACGGCCTCCCAGCTGTGAAGGTGCTGCCTCAGGCCCTTGGCATCACCCCCCCATATCATCGCATGGCTTTGTTCACTGCCTGCATCTGTTTGTATGATAAACACAGGGGTTGTATCACTCTGGGAAACTCTGGTCCCTCTTTGGATCTCCATTTACTCAGCCAATAGATGGGTAGATTTATCCAAGCTCTACATTTCTTTTCCAAATGGACGTTTGCCATCGGAGTATTGCGCTAGCCGTTCATGAGCTGCAGAGATTTTTGGAGACCCTACTGAGCACTGGATCCTGGGTGCTGGGAAGAGAGTGGTGCGGAAATGAGACCAACTATCCCCAAAGGGACACAGCGGGCAGAGACTGACACGCGCAAGATTAAGGTCACTTCTGTGACTGGCGAGTGCTGTGCAGATGAAAGCCAGGGCACTGCAGAGAAGGGGTGGCCGGGCCTTGGTGAGGGAGGGCTCCTCCAGGAAGTGACTTAGGCTGAGACCTGAGTGACAGGAGTTGGAGGCCAGCTCCAAGGAGGAGCAGCTCCTGCAGAGGCCCAGAGGAAGGACTGGAGAGTCAGTGTCACCTTCCACGAGTGACCCGAGGGCCTGAGCATGAGGACGCAGAGGAGGATCCCTCGCGTGCACAGGAGGCAGAGGCTGAGGTCCCGGCCAGGCTGAGGTACACAGTGTGTGTCCCGCACAGGCCCCGACGGGGACTTCATCTTAGAGCACAGTTGCCCAGGGAAAGGCTCTTGGCTAGCAGCTGGCTGGAGGGGATCCGTTTTGAGGTGGGGTTGGATGCGCTTGAAGAGGAAGGAGGGCCATGCAGTGCCAGGACCCTCGCATGTCAGCACCCTGCATTAGGCTGTGGGTGCATCTACAGTGACTCCGCAGTGACCTCTGTGCTCTCCTGTCCCTGTCTGCACGGGCAGAGCCACATAGCTTTATCTGTCACTTTGCTGCCAGTGCTCAGTGTCCCCAGAGCTGCTGAGTGTCCCCGAGGTATGCATCAATCAGGCGGGCTCAGCAGCCATGCCCCTGTGCTCACAAGCCGCAGGCTTGATGCCATGCGGCCGTCCCTGGGTGACCGAGGCTCTGCTGCGTCCACCCCCCACTGCCCTGCCTGGGTCACCCCGAGTACCAGGCCCCACCCGCATCCCTGTGTCCCCCCTGAACACAGGAGCCCAGGTTCCCACTTAGGATGCTGCTTCCCAGATTGAAAATGCTGCTTAAAATTCCCTGAGTTTCCCACCCCTTAGGGGGTTACACCTGCCTTCACTGAGCCCCGGGGGACCCATTTGCCCTAAGGATAGAATGTCAATTGTGCTTGGTAAATGTTAGGGACAGAGGTATGGCGGAGTGCGAGGGGTCTGGATTCATCCAGATTTCTCTGAGGGAGGACTCCCTTCCTTGTC